ATATGATTCAGTTATACACTGAGTAATATTTTACCACTTCATATTAAAGCTTTCCAGGCATCATACAGGATATCGATACTACACCCAGATAATTGTTACTTGCCAAATATTGCTACTGGAATACACACACTATGAGTTCATTAAGAGGCAGTTTCATTGGAAGACAGTATCCAAAACAAACTGAGTGAGTCATTTAGGGGAAGTGGGGTGGCTGATGAGGTTTGTGCGGGTGTTAACTTCTGCCTACAGTGAAATTTGTCATGCAAGTAAAAGCCATTACTTGAACGGTGTAGGAACAAACCACTAACAGCCTGGTTTGGAGACCGACATCAGACCAACCACAGGCGGAGAAGGTTCTTCTTTTTAATTGCGCCATAAGTTGAACAGCTACTAGACGTCATCTTCTTGATAATTTTCCTGAGAAGTTGCAGGGGTATGTTTTTTTAACATCCTGGGGGCAGTTTATTTTCTACCATTTATTCATCGTTTATTGCAGTATTTTTACACCAGCATGTCATTATGTTTCACAGAAAGACACCTTGCTGTTGAGTTTTCAAAAATGGCCTCGCAGCAAAAACAAAATTCCATTAATCCCCACTGCACTGTAGTGGCAGTAAAAGTGTCAGAGCTGGATATCTCCAAACCTCAGGAGATACAATAAACTCTATGTATGGCTATTCCCGGTTCTTACGTGATGAAATATGTCTTTTATGATGTGAGTGGACTGTCCCTTCAAGGAGACAGGTATGGACACACAAAAGGCTAACAGGTGCCGCAGCTAAACAACAACAACAACAGCTAGCTTGACAAACAGTTACATTTCTGGTTAAACAATGTCACACAGGCTTTGTTAAAAAAAAAAAAGAGAGAGACCATATTATGAAGCCTAACGCTCAGCTACTAAATGAAGAAACACGACAGAGCCACAGTTAGCTTTGTTTGCTGATTAGCCTAGCTTAGTTTACGGCTAGTCATGCTAGGCTTTAACTCTATGGGTAGCTACTTAGCTATAGCCTGCTGACCTTTCCAAATCAGGAAGTGAAAAATTAATAGGAGAAATGGTTGCAACAATATTATTATTACTTTTTTTAAAGATTCATTTTGGTTGTTCTTTGCTGCATTTATTTTTAGCTGTAGGCTACTGCTGACAAATGGTGGACTTGAAACTGTTGCCACCTCATAGAAAATATCAGTCTTTTCATTTCCTGTGTAAACACTTTATGAAGGTCCAGTGTCTAGGATTTAGAGTAGGGGTGTCAAAGGTTAACTGTTGATAGGTTTAAAAAAAAAAAAAGGAGACATTTATGACACAAAACATTAAAATTTCACCATCTCTAAGTGGTAAGGGCTTTGAAATTGGGTGCTAAAAATCACTGAGTTAATAAATCCTCACACTAAAAGGAAAGGCCTGGTGTAGTTCATGTCATTTTATTTATTTATTTTTTCCTTTATTAAAAATTTACCAGTTTGCTAATGGTTAATGTGTGTTCAGCTATCGAAAGCAAAATTCACCGAAACTGACATCCCTAGTTTAGGGGCATCTATCGGCAGAAATGGTATAGAAATGGTCACTGGTTTATAATCACCTGAAAACAAGAGCTGTGTTTTAGTTACCTTAGAATGACCCGTTTATACATACGGAGTGGGTCCTCTTCAGGTATTGTGCCAGGCTTTGAGACCAACTTTCATAGTGGCCAAATGGTGGAATTAATCCAAGTAAGACTTTTTTTTCCCCATAGATTTACATTGCGAGATGTCTGTACATCAATGGATATGTTTTTTTTTTTAGTGTCACAACCCTCACAAAATGACCGTTTCAATGTAAAACAATCAGTCCGATAACATTTGGAAAGTCCAGAGGAGCTGCATGATTGAATCATTTTATCCCCATTTAAGTTAGCGAAGTGCTAAACCGGAAGTAGTCAGCTTGGCTGGTAGAAGTCGATCATTGGCTTCTTGTGCCACTGAGCAACTTTTATGGGAATGAATGGGACCCTGCCATCCATGGTCCTCTTCCATTGAGTCATTCTTATTGTTCTACAGTAGTCAAGAATGGACTAATCAAACTGGCTCTTGATAGGGCTGCATGATGTGCGCATTGACCACTATAGTTCTTGGCACACTGAAGAAGTTTCAGTTCTGTTCTGGTTGCTTAGTGGGTGAAGCAGGCGTCCCATGTGCGAAGACAATGCCCATGCCTTAGCACCTGCAGGGTCGTTTCCAGCCTGAGGCCCTTTGCTGTATGTCATCCCCTCTCTTCCCCCTTTAAGCTTGAACTGTCCTATCCAATAAAGGCAAAAAGCCCAAAAAATAATCTTACAAAGAAGCCTATGAGATTTTTCCATTGGGTTTTGGGCTATTGCTGTTGTAAACAAATGTGTATGATACCCTAAATGCAATCTATAGAAGTAAAAAGCTAACGTTAGGCTATAAACTAACTACACCATGGTCGTATGACTTAACATCCCTACCACATGAAGGCTGTAAAGCTGTGCTCAGCATGATGTCATTTTGTCGTCTCATGTAGCCACTTTTTTGCAACCACCTTTTTTAAGCCACATAAATGCTTCAAAATTCATGAGTGGGGTTTTTACTGATGTATTTTATGTTGTAGAACAAAGCATGAAAGTCTCTTGAGCCTGTGTGTGGCACAGACCTCATTTCAGGCATCTAACTAAAACCCCATTGACTTCAAGTTGAGGGAAGAGAAGAGAAAATGCCGACTCATTTACGGGAATCAACTCCGCCCCCCCATCCCCACCCCGCTGTCTGTGGCAGGCCGCCCAAACCTCATTACTTCATACAGGAAATATGAATCTTGAAAAACTTATCCCTGAACCGGCTGGGCACTGCTGTTTTCCTCTTTTTAACTTTTTAATTCATTAATATATTTCACATTACAAGGGCAACAAGTGAATGAGAAACAACAAAGCAAACAAATACGTGTTTATGGAATAGTCAGTAAATCAAGGCAATTTAAAATAACATACAAAGTACATCCATAGTTTTAAATTTTAATATTTAAAACATGTGCATTTGGACCCCCACCCCTGCAATAAAAACATGAAAGCTTCAGACTTACATGTTGACATAATTGAAGACATTAACACTGTAAATTGGTACAGAAAAGGCATGAGAACATTTTATCAGAATGCAGGAAATTAAATATCTGATGCTAAAATTTTCAGGCAGAGTGCTCCCACACCAATACATCCACTCAATGTGTGACCACCAATGATGAAACCCTTGCAATAATTTTGAAAGATCTGTATCACTGGCAGAATACAACACAATTTTGGGGTCGTGTGGAGTAGGTCATATGTTCCAATATCTGTAAGTCAATATCAACAAAGAGGCCGACGGCGAGACAGTTCTTCTTAAGCCAGTATTTTGTTCTGTACTATACTACACTATTTGGACTATCCACCTTACTCCTGAGGGCACAACTGTAGAAATGATTATGTGCACAACGTCCTGTGTGAAATAGCGGAAATAGCAATAAGTTAGTTAGTCCCAGAGACTGCCTGTGGTTGGTCACAGTGGCTACTCTTGGTGGCTTACCGCCAACGTTGGTTCTTTTCAAAATAAAATTTGCCTTCAGTTTAGCAAATACTGATTTATTTTTTAACAGACTGACAGGTCCGTCACTCAACGTCAGTACATGACATCCCTGTCTTTCCCCATCTGACTTCATTCTCAACCGACATTACAACATACCTTGAAATATGTATTTAGTCATTAGGGCTGAGAATGTGCTACTGATTTACCGAATTTCCTTTGTATGGGCGGCTGTGGCTCAGAGGTAGAGTGGGTCGTCCACCAATCGGGCTCCTCCAGTCTGCATGTCAAAGTATCCTTGAGCAAGATACTGAACCCCAAATTGCTCCCGATGGCTGTTCCATCAGTGTGTGTGTGTTAAAACTGAGTAGCAGGTGGCATCTTGTATGGTAGCCTCGGCCACCAGTGTGTGAATGTGACTCGTAGTGTAAAAAGTGCTTTGAGTGGTCGGATGACTAGAAAGGCGCTATACAAATGCAGGTTTACCATTTACCATATATCATATCAAAAATGAATGCCAAAAGTAATTTCTTTTACTACTACTTTATATTATTATTACTGAAGTCTGCTGCTAAATTGAGCATCATGTTTCACTCAGAACAGTTTTTAATAAATCAGAAGTTAAAAAAATGTGTAAAATGCATCGTTAACACAAACAAGTGGAGGATTAGCAGGGAAACATCACATTTATTCACTTAACATGGAGCTACAGCAAGCTAATTGCTAGCATGCTCGGTTGAAAAGGAAAAAAGACAACAATATTTTGAGATGGCTGTCAGAGAGTTTGCAGAGGTATGATCACATAATCCTGTTTGAACTATAACAGGTGGTGTGTTCCACATTTTCTTTCCCAATTTCTCTTGGAAAGAAGAATAGACTACTGTATACAAACTGTTGGAAATCGCCGGTTTCAGTTCAAAGCCAGAAGTTGTGCACATGTTTCGCACAAGGAACCATGGGGGCTAGGAATAAGGTGGATACTTTACTTAAGTAAATTGTGTTTTCAGATGCATGTTTTGGGTCCTCAACTGTTTACAGCGACAGGAGTGCGCATTGTGATGAAGGAACATGTAACTCAGGATAAAGGTTTGGTGCATTTATGTGTTTTTAATTGTGTCCAGAGAACAATGGAGCTCCATGGCACAAAGGATACATGAGACTATGAGGCTTTGGCTAAACAGACTGCACTTAATGGAAGGATTATTTCATTGTTGGTTTTTGGTATTTTCATAGGATTTTATGACAATAAAAACATAAAAAAACACATCCTACAAGGGTAGAAAAAAAGCACTATCTGTTGTAGCACCAGACGATCACAGGGTCTTCAAAATGAAAATTTGCCTTTAATGTACAGGACAGAGTGAAATGGTCGCAAGCTGGAGTTGAACCTGCGACCGCTGCAGTGAGGCATCGTCTCTGTACATGGGGTGCTGCCCCTTCCACTACGCTACCGACGGCCCTTCAAAATCAAAGTTCCTTATGTGCATTTCACGCACTTGGTTGAGATTAGCTTAGTAAAGGGTTATGAGTTCATCCTTGTGGGAATATGCAAACAACAAATGCTATATCAAGCCAGCTATTATTCTTTCTGGTAATGCCCATACAACATCAAACAGATTGTCCCTTTCTTCAGTGCTTGGGGATGATCTCACGAGCTCTGGTATGGCTCTGTCGCTGCTCTGTGTGTCAGCAGCAGGTCAACAAACTCTACGACACCTGCTCTGGTGGAGCGCAATTCATGGGTATCCGTTCTTCTGCTGTCTGCGGTGGGATGTCGTTTTTTAACCTCCTAAGGTATAAAGGAAACAGTGATGACATCATGAGGGATCAATCATTGGAATTTCACAAAGGTGATCTCTGATGGATAAACATTCAAATTTAGTTATCTTCAAGTTATCTTATCGAGTGAAAGAGAGTGTGCTGTGAATTAATTCCACATATACAAATCACTTTTTCAGTCAAACCCTTGCTTTTCTCTAACTTACCTCCTGTAACAAAAGAAGCTGATTCCGATCAAAGCACAGACGATTACCAATGACGCACAGCCGATCAGCGCTGTTGTTGTGCTGCCAAGATCTGCCAATAAGAGGGAAATGGTCAACATGAAAGGCAACAAATGCTACATAATCAGTTTGACTTTGATTGATATCAGTGTGGAGGCTTACTGCGGGCTATCTGAAGATTGCTTTCACTGTTCGAAGGCTCAGTGGTGGTTGAGGTTGATGATGTCTGCTGCGTGGTTTGGGTCTCTGTCCTACCATCTACCTTCCCTACTGAGAAAGAACAAATGAGTAAGATCTCCCTATAGGTCAGTTTTTCATGAACAGTTTTGCATTGGCACATTAAGGCAGTGTGAGCTGCTCATAAAGAATGATTGATCACATAAAATCTCCAAAAGCATCCGGGTTCTATGTGCTGCTTTTTATCCTTTTAAAACCCATGGTTTAAAACAGCTGGTTCTGTATATGTGCTGTTTTGATCATTTGACAGATTTATGTGAGCTTGAAGAAGAAAAGATGGACCACACTGAAACAACCACACACAAAGCTAAACACTCTCAAGGAGAGTGACAGTGGAATCAGATGAATAAATATGGGGAAGATTTGATCATGACTAAAGCTGAGTAAAAAGTTGGTCCCATCCTCTGTCCTGTACAACACGAAAATGTTCAAAACATGATGGATTCAGCATCGACTGAACAAGTGTTCACACATTAGTGTGATTCTGCTTCATGCACACATTAACCAACTCTATATTGATTATGAAAGTGCAATAATTATTAGATATTAACTACAGTTAAACAAGAAGTCTGGTGAGTTTTAAAAAGATATTAAATGACAAAATTACAAATTGAACTATTTCTCGGTTTCTCAACCTGCCAAACTTTTATTAAATGTGTCTGTCTTAGAAATAATTATATACATCACAAGGTATATAATTGACTGAAATACAACCATTTTATAGAGCCTTCACTGATGGTTATTACTTAAAAAATATTACTATATCCATCTTGAACTCATTTGAGACTATTAATTAAAATATCCCAAATAGCATATATACTGTAGATATTAGGGTTATAGGGGAAAAATCTTAAATAAGTGTCCATACATTTAATACATAATATTGGATACGACTAATAGTAATCTTAATCATGACAAGGTGTGTATGAAGCTTAAAGGAATATTCCATTCACAAAATGACTAACCATGTTTTTTTCGCATGCATCCATGGTGAGCGGAGAATCCAAAAAATGCAACCATTCTTGATGAACTGAAGTAAACAATGGCTGCATATTACAACAGCAAAACTACATCAAAATGTGCGTTTACAAATTCTCACACAACTTGTGCAGTGTCATCCAAGTCTCATTTATCCAGTCGAATGCTCAGTACGTCCCAAACACGTGCATGCACATGCAAATCTTATACATGGCTGAGTAGTTTGCCTGGGCACATAGGTACATTTGAATTCTGCTCAAGCGGAGCACATGCATGGGGGTGCTCATGCGTACTTTAAATGCAGACTACTCGTGGGTAGAAGTGTTTCATATTGTACGGTTTAGGCAAAAACACATGTGTAGGAAGTACAAAGCATTTGACTGCATAAATGAGACTTGGATTATACTGCATACATTTTGTGAGAGTTGTTGTGAGGTATAGTCCCCAGTGACTTAAGTTCAAGAATGTTTGCCTTTTTTGGACTTTCTCTTCACCATGGAGTTTTTTTCACCAGTTTACGGTAACCTACAGTAAGTAATTGATATGCAAATGGTCATTTTGTAGGTGAAGTATTCCATTTAATACCATTTCAGAAACATTTAACAGATCCAGTCCCTGGCGTGATTGTTTGGAAGTAGCCAATAAAATCATCTGACCTGATGCATACTATATCACTTATAAGCAACATACTGCTATCAGTATACATGCATAACGATAAGTTATTCACTTAGTGAGTGATCTGACGGGGTCCACAGACCAGGTGAGGTTGGTTCTGTGCTGTTTGTCTCTGCAGTCACTGAAGCTGAGGGGCTTACACTCTGGATCGTCCGTTGGCTGGTGGACCCTGCTGTTGATGAGAAATGACATTTACTGCTACTGATAACGCTAAGAGACTGCATGTCCAACTGCTAATACTACTTCTACTACAAATACCTCCTCTGTTACTACACTGTTGCTTCTTCTACCCTCACTACTATTCGTAAAACTACTGCTGAACAAAACAAAGCATACTGTGATTTGGGGAGTTCCAGTGCGGATGTCTTTAGTCATGCACAATTGACTGTGGTTTATAAGTGCTGTAATTAAACAATTTTCCACAAGTGCGTCACACGCATTGGTCATGCTATTTGCTCTGATATAATATGTCATGCAATTAATATTAAAAAAAGAAAAAACATGCAAGGTTATGTGTTAGTTTTTCACAGTTTGGTATTACTGTTACAACTACAGTTAATACTTCCTCTAATAGCACTAGTGCTACATCTACAACATTTCTGCTGCTACTGTATATCTACATCACAAAAGCTAACGAGTCTACTTTACTGCTACTATTGATATTAGTATAACTGCTACCTTTACTACTACTTCCACCAACACAAGTTTTGTATATTTGGGCTTTTTAAAGCACTATTAACAGATTTTTTGGCCACTTGGAGGCAACAGAATGAGGTGGCTGAAAATGTCCTGAAACAAATGGGGAAGTAGCACAATAAGGGCTTGCTGCCATTCAGTTTCAAAATATAACTCACACCATACCCAAAAAGACAAAAAAGTTACTGTGTTTCATAAATTCTCATAAAAATTATGATTTTCCAGCACTTAATGATGAATGTCACTGCATCAATTGTATTTAGAAAACTTTCCAGCTTCCCATGAAAACGTCATAAGCTTCAATTTGAGCCCCAAATGATAATAAAACTTGCTATGGCCTGAATTCTTCACCATGCACAACGTGATTTTGCCAAGTAGGAGATGCTCCTGGATCAACATCCCACATCACATTCCAGGACCAACATTGCATCAATCAATCACAGCCCTCTGACATCACCTGTGCTTCTTCAGCGCTAAGCTAGTTTTCCAAATTTAAGTGTGTACAATTGAACAGGGGTCATCCCTATGTTTCCAGGGTTCTATGTTTCCCTGGTTCTATGTTCCCCACTTAACCCTGCAAAAAAGGTTCTATGTTCCCCGCTTACACAAAAAGGGTTCTATGTTTCCCGCTTGGTTGAGTGGGCAACATAGAACCCGGGAAACATAGAACCTTTTTTGTGTAAGTGGGGAACATAGAACCTTTTTTGCAGGGTTAAGTGGGGAACATAGAACCAGAGAAACATAGAACCCTGGAAACATATATACGCTCCTGAATCCTTACTCTTTGTTAGCAGCTTACTTGTTAGCATAGCCTACCTACTTAGCAAGCAAGCTTGCTAACATTCTAGCCTATTGGCAAGCTTATTTGTTAGCATAGCTACCTTGTTAGCAAGCTAATGCGCCAATAGTCTCGTCTATTGGCATGTTTACTCATTAGCGTAGCCAGCCTAGTTACCAAGCTAACTCGCTAACCCTGCAGTAGCTGAGAAGGTTTTTGTTCAGTGATACTGGGGATTTATTTTAATTGTACTAACTTCAATTTGGAAACCTAGGAATTTTGAAAGAAGCACAGGACCAGCACACTGATTATGTCAGAGGGCTGTGATTCACTGATCACAATGTTGGACCAGGAACGCAATGTGGGATGTTGATCAAGGAGCGTGCCCTACTTGGCAAAATCACCTCGTGCAAAATGACATTGTGCTCTTTACTATACCTCAAATCAGAGAAAACAGAATTTCAGCCTTCCAGATAGTCTACTTGCCAGCAACGTCAACCCAGAAATGTTGAGTACCCCAAAGTTTTATCTGAGAAAGACACAGTATGGGTTCCCAAGTGCCTGATAGTAACTTTCAAATGTTGGGAAATTTGCAGAATTTGCATCAATTACTGTATATGGACATTATTTCAACAACTGCTTGGCAGATTTTGTACAATATTTGAGTGGTCATGGGGCTTACTGGAGATGCTGATTCAATTTCTGTCATTCTCAAAATTCAAAATGGCTGTTGAGACCAAAAGCGGCCATGTCTCAACTCCCAGTGGGCTGATTTTGATGAAATCTGAGTCACTTTAGAAGTTTTAATGGACACTGAATTGATTAGGACAGATAACTAAAAAGAGAAATTCAATACATGTAAGGAATGTTTTACTGGTAGAAAACATGAGTTCTGGAGCAGGTTTCAAACACAAGCATACTTAAAATTATCTAAGACTCTATGTGTCCCAGTTACACAACATGTCTTCATCATCAGCCTCATCCTTATCATATGCTCTGTTTTCTTCAGACTCTACATTCTTGTCATCTTGCTCTTCTTGCTATGAGTGTGTGAGCGGGTTGCAGCATGTCCTATCATAGCCTTTGCAGAAGCACTAGCTCAGTGGTGCCCAAACCATTTTGAATGGAGGCCAGATTAAATCATATGAAAACACCTGGGGGGGCAGCTGCTCCATGCATCATATGGGTTGAGAAAACATACAAAAACGACACAACAGTTTTATCTTTCAGTGAAAAAGTATTCTCTTCACTGCTCCTGAAAGCGGCAGCTCTTGCTGTCAACTCTACGCTTCTTTGCTGTGGTCATGTTTGCTACCTGGCAGGAAATGTTTGCAGCTAGGTAACAGTTCATTTGCATGTTTACCATCTGTTTATGAAAGAGCATTAGCTCTGCTGTCATACTTCCTGCTTGGTGCATGTCTACCAACTGTATAATAGTCCTGCTGTTTTGAGGGGAAGGGAAAAATTTGAAGTGATCTTGCTTAATTGACCAATATTGTGTAGTGGGCCACATATAATATATTTTGAAAGACAAGCCACTGGCTGTTTAAAAATCAGTCCACAGGCCACGATGGGCCCTGGACTGGACTTTGGACATGCCCACAGCTGCACTTTGCTGCTGTACATAACCTTAACACAGCTTTGCATCTACAGCTGATGATATCTAACAGGGCAAGAGAAGCAGTGGGACTGGCATCAAAGATAGGCATGATGACTTCCTCTCCTTCCTTCTTGCCTTCCTTCTTATCTCACCCAAACTTGGTAATGTCCTCAGCTGATCCTCTTAAACTTCTAAACGGACTCAAATTTCACCACCAGGAGTTGAGATATGGCCATTACTGGTTTCAGCAGCCATTTTGAAATGTCAGAAATGAATTCAACGTCTTCATTACCCCCAAATCCATTCCAATAATGTCCAAATCAGCCAAACAGTTGCTGAAATATTGTCCATATCGGAATTATGCTTATTGATGCTAATTATGCAAATTTCCCAACATATGCAAGTTGGCATTCAGCAGTTTCTAGATACTGGTGACCCATACTGTACATTTCCAACATAAAACCTCTTTTTAGCTCTGTTAAGGACTCCACCAAACATTGAGAGGAATATCTGTCTCTTTAGCAGCTAATTGCTCCACTACATGAAAATATAGATAAGGGCAGCTTTATAGTATTTCTTACCACTACTGTACCATGAGTAAATTCTGTCAATATAATACAATCATTGCAGAATTCCACTGAAAGACTCTGGGAAGAAAAGCTCATTAGCAGTGAGTTAAATTAGTTTGAGCAGTTATGTTTCAATAGACCATTTTCAGGGTGGACATCTTGACTTGCAAAACATCAGTGTATTTAATGACATTAATAACGGCTGAATTTCATTTAAGTGATGAGGATTTCTGGATGGAACATCATCACCTTTATTAAACCTTCTCCTGTTGGGACAAGTCTAAGGTTCTGGCAATGCAAGAATACACATCACAACTCCAGATAACAGGTATCTACGTGCCCAGGTTCATCATAATTTGATGCCATGTTAACAATTAGTCACAGCTGTAAAACAGTTCACATCGCCAGCACACAATCATTCTTCTCTTCACATGTCATCATACGCTTACATGTTGGTCTTGAATGACATTCAGTGAGTTGAATGAGTTAGGTTGTAATTATTAGTAAACTCTACACAAGAAATTTTATCTTACTACATAAGTAAAAAAATATTTTAAGTAACACAGATTTTCCTTGGGTTGGTGTTTTTGATGTTTTGGTACTCTACTAGTAGTTTTTCTACAACCATTAATGCTGCTGCTACCTTTACATTAAAGCTGGGGTGGGCAGTTTATTTTGCTAATCCCATAATAAACTCTGAGTATATAGTAATTCAAGTGGACTGAGCAAAAACTAGACATCTGCACATCCTCCTGGCTCTGTTTCAGGATTTAGAAAATCTAGCTTGTGGCGGGAGATGTTGGCCAATCACAGGTCATTTCAGAGAAAGGGCATTCTTACTGTTCTACAAATTCAGATGAGCATGAACATCTCTTCAGATGGTGAAAACCTAATTCAATGGCTGAGAATCCTGCTGAGAAAGTTGCTAATACACCATTGGCAACAACTGTCTACACTACAAAGCAACCCCAAAAAAGTAAGATGGACTTATTAAAAGAGAGTCTAAAAGGGAGTCTGACAATAAATGAAATAAAACGTGTCAGTATCGGCAAATGTTTCAGAAATGGAGAGAAAATGTAGCTAATAGTTTAGCCTTCTGCAAACTGGAGCCAGAGGTTACAGCTGCGGCTTCAAGTTTGCGTTTATTTAGCTTACGTTAGCTAGAGCCTTGACTCAAAGTATGTCCTCTGCCTCACTCCCTGCTGCTAAAGACCACCTCGTCAGGAGGAGAGCGGGCAGCAGCTCCAGAGATGGACCCCTAGCAAGCGACTGCAGCAACCTGAATCCAGCCAGTGGAAACCCAGCGCCAGGGGGCTGGACAATCCCAAGTCCCCGTCGGATCAGCAAACTTTCTGTTGCTACTGTTACACAAGTTAGACCCTGCGCTGGGGGATTGGCCAAACTTGAGCTGCTACAGTCGATGACCAAAGGTCCGTTTAGTGCTGCCCACTCTCCTCTCAGAGAAGCAGTCCACAGTGGTGGGAAGCAAGGCATGGAGACCGCAGAGTGCTAGCTCGCTGATTCTTGTCTAATTTGTGCTCTAATAAACAGAGAACAAGAGAGCGGGGCATGAGGGCCTGAGTGAATGCTGTGTGCACATCTCTACAATATAACAGGTTACTGTATGAAGCATGTGCATATGCCTGTGGTCTTTAGGTGGGAGGGGCTTAGAGCTACCTTTGTCAGATGCCTGCCTACCACAGCTTTTAAGCTACCGGTACAACTACTAGTGAATTCAAATAAACACAAGAAGTTTGTGCTCTAATAAAAAAAAAAAAAGGGATCAGCGCTCAGTGAATAATCCTCCTAAGCCCTACGATAAGCTATTATGGCAAGGCTTAACTATACAGACCCGTGAGCAGTGATAACTAACATGTCTTTGGGGTCATTGGGTGGGAACCTCCTTTCACCGGTGTTTCGTCTAGTTAGTCCCACGACACCTCCAGGAGGCTAGACAGTGATCTCTGGCGTCCCAGAGACACTCCCCTAATGCCAGGTCTCACTGCTCCCCACACTAACCGAACAACCTCCTTTACCTTACCTATACTACCACAGAGGAGGTAGACCCAGGGAAGGAAGCCTTGTTAGGCTATCACACTCCCCCGCCGGGTTAGGCTGTACAGTCTACCTCCCCAGGACGAGCCCTCACAACAATGACACCTCCAGGAGGCTGGACAGTGATCTCAGCCCAAACAGCACTGCCAACTTCAACCAAGCCCAGGCTCCGTTTATGCGAGCTCCAGGCAGAAGCAATGCTGATACTACCTTTACTAGCACATTCACCATACTCTATTTCACACGCTACATAGCATAACTACAATGTAAGCTAAAGTTAAAGGAGATAAATGAACTCACAGGATCAGCAAACACACTCACTTTGCAGCATGGTCTCAAACAAAATGGATTCAAATAGGCCACTCCCACACTTAAATAACCTTCCTCTTCCTGGATTTCCTTCTTACTTACACATGGCTTTCTCAGCCCAAACAGCACTGCCATCTTCAACCAAACCCAGGCTCCATACATGCGAGCTCCAGGCAGAAGCAATGCTGATACTAGCTTTCCTGTCACATTCACCATACTCTATTTCACACACTACATAGCATAACTACAATATAAGCTAAAGTTAAAGGAGCTAACTGGACTTACAGGATCAGCAAGCACACTCACCTTGCCGCATGGCCTCAAACAAAATGGATTCCAATAGGCCACTCCCACACTTAAATACTTCCTCTTCCTGGATTTCTCCTGACAGGAAGTGGATCTCTCCACCTGATCTCAAGGAGTTATGTGCCCTGCTTAGTAGTTCCCCCTGCTGGCCCCCAGCTGACATTATTTCTTCTGTAATAGATAAACTGGCTGCATTTAATTGCTTCATCTGACATTTCCCTCACTGTCTTCCTCAAATTCTGTCCCCGCACTCCGAGTTCCCCCAGGAGTGAGACAGTTGATCTTGCTATGAATCCCCTACACCCCACTTCCACTGGACAAATCCTAGTCTTCCATCCTCGCTGCTCAGCTTCTGCTCCTAAGTCTGCATATCTAAGCTTTTTTCTTTCATAGGCTTCTTCCACTGAGTCTTCCCAAGGAACTGTCAGCTCAATGAAATAAACTATCTGTTGACTCACTGACCACAACACTAAGTCAGGCCTCTGCCTGGTACAGACTATTTCCTGAGGAACAACAAGCTTTCCCCCTAAATCTACTTGCATTTCCCAATCACAAGCACCTTCTAGGCGGCCACACCCTTGCCTCCTCACTAACTTATCCCTTCTGTATTTCTCTCCCTCACGGACAAACTGAATTACTAAGCCCCTATCCTTAACACCTTCTGAATTCACCTGTCTTCGTTTCCCTTCGATGCCTGCAGCTAAACATTTCAACACCTGATTATGTCGCCATGTATATCGGCCTTGTGACAAGCTAACTTTACAGCCTGACAAAATATGCTTTAAAGTTGCGGTACGTGAACACAATGGGCATGATGGGTCCTCATTTACCCACAGTTTTAGGTTCTGGGGGGTTGGTAACACATCGTATGTAGCCCCTACCAGGAATCTAATACGATTCTCCTCCATACTCCACAGGTCCCTCCAACTAAGCTTCCTCTTCTCTACACTTTCCCAATTCAACCACTGTCCCTGTTTAGCCTGGGCCACTACCTTTGCACCCCTTACTATCTCTTCCTGTCTGCGTATCTGTTCTACAACCAGCTTTCTTTTATCTTTGAGGCCTGCTGTATTCCATACCGGTTTACCTGAGCCAAGCCCCAGGCCTCCCCGGCCAAACTGAACATTACCTACAATCTCTGCATGTCTAAGAGCTGCCTCTGCCTCCTGAACTGCCGATCTTGGGTTCCACTTCCTCCCCTTGGTTGGATTTGGAACCACACTCCTAACTACCACGTCCTTACTCCCAGATAACAAGAGCTCTGTCCTGACCTTGGTACATTTAAATTCCTCTGTTAAACTAGATACTGGCAGCTGAAGTATCCCTTTTCCATACAATGCAACACTACTTAGGCACCTAGGAGCGCCCAACCACTTCCTAATGTAGGAGCTAACCGACCTTTCCATTCTCTCCACAACAGATATTGGAATTTCATAAACTGACAATGGCCACATTAACCTAGGATATAGCCCAAATTGCAAACACCACAACTTCAACTTTCCTGGAAGTTCTGATTTATCTATTCTATCCAATCCTTCAGCCACATCTTTTCTAAATTTCACCACCTGTTCCTTATCATTCAACTCTACATTGTACCACCTACCTAAGCTCTTTACTGACTTTTCCCTAATTGTTGGGATGTCCTCATCATCTATGACAAACTTCCTATCACTTAACTTCCCTCTACATATCGAGATGCTTCTAGATTTACTAGGCTTGATTTTCATGCTGGCCCACTTGAGGTTCTTATTTACCTTCTCTAGTAGCCTCTTTGTACATGGCATTGTTGTGGTCACCAGTGTCATGTCATCCATGTAAGCCCTAACTGGTGGAAGATGCAACCCATTCTGCCGTCTCTCCCCACCTACCACCCACTTAGAAGCCCTGATGATTACTTCCATTGCCATAGTAAATGCTAATGGAGAAATTGTACACCCTGCCATGATGCCTATTTCTAGCCTCTGCCAACCTGTTGTGAAACCTGCTGTACTTAGACACAACCTAATATCCTGAAAATATGCTTTCACTAAGTTAACAACTACCTGTGGCACTCTGAAGTAGTCAAACGCACTCCAAATGAGGCTGTGCGGTACTGAACCAAACGCATTTGCAAGATCTAAAAATATTACATGTAGGTCCCTTTTGTTAATCTTCGCTGCCTGAATCTGGTGCCAGATCATGCTAGTATGCTCTAAACACCCTGAAAAACCTGGTATTCCTGCCTTCTGCACCATGGTATCTATTAAGCTATTCCTTTCTAAGTAGCTAGCTAGTCTCTGCGCTACTACACTAAAGAAAATCTTCCCCTCCACATTCAAGAGAGAAATCATCCGGAACTGGCTAAGGTCCACAGACTCCTTCTCCTTAGGAATGAGGACACCCCCTGCCCTACGCCATGCTCTTGGTATAATTTGTTTTTCCCAAACTATTCTTAGCTGTACCACTACCTTGACTACCACTACTAATGCTGCTTCTAATCATTACCAACACTACCACTACTGCCGCTACTACACAACTAACAAAAATTGTGACTGACAGAGTTTTTTAGTGTCATCATTGGTATTTATTTATTATTAGTATATTAGTGTAATTGTGGTATTTGTGTCTCCAAAGCTAATGCAAACACAGAACTTACTGACTGTGGTGGTACTGGTGGAGTCAAGGGGAATATCAGTATAACCCTCTGCAAAATCAAACATCATAAATCACACATGTGAAACCAAAACTTCTCTCCAATTCATATTAAAACTTTCCTGTGTACAAGTATTGAAGAGTTTTGTATTAAACCTTACACTTACCTGTTATTATGATGGTTGGTCGTTGTGTTGTGGTCCTCTTTGGATCAGCTGAAACAACAAATACGAAGTTGAGCAGTTTGTTCATCATCCCAAACTTGACAGTAAATACAAATAAACACTGTCTTAAAGCAAAAACTGGATAAATTTAGTTGCAAGACCTAGTAAGGGTCAACCTCAAAAAAAACTATACTTCCTACTCTCTTCCCACAATGCAACTTGATGGCATCTCTTGCCTGTGAATGAAATAGCCCTAGTTTAAAACATAGGCTTTCTATTATTAATTGGTAGTTTCCAGACTGCTGCTGTAAGTGCCTCAAACTGTATGCTGATGAAATACTGCTTTTTGTCTCAAATGTCCCAAACTTTAGACTTCCCAAAATAAAAATGTATTAATTAGGCAGAACATGCAACTATCTTCCAGAAACTCCAACCACCAAGGTATTTATTTAAGGGAACAGTATGCAGGATTTAGTGGTATCTAGGGAAGAGGTGGCAGATTGCAACCAACTGAATACCTCTCCGCTCTCCCCTCCCTTTCCAAGAGTGTAGAGAACGTATGGCGGCCTATAGGTAATGTAAAAATTTGGATTTGTAAACTAGACCTCAGCAGAGAAACCAAAACTATTTCCCTTTACTTCTTGCACTCATTGCATTTCTTGTTTGTGTTTATCCATTTCATTTTGCATTGCTTACTCATGTTTAAACTGAAGTGGAACGGCACTGTCTGACACTTTGCTCGCCACATGATGCAAACCACAGATTTTATCTGATCAGCATGACGTGAAAAAATAACTAAAATCCAGATGTGTGAGGGCACATAACTTCAGCTTCTTACAAAATACACCAGTAAAACAACAGCATACCTGAACAATAAAAACATGTTCTCTTACATTTAATAAAAATCTGAGTTGCACCCAAGAAAATTGTGATGTGCAGATGAGTCAATATTAATCCTTACACAGTACGTACTCCCTCTCTCCTTTCCACCAAGTTACACACTCCGTATGAATGGGGCCTTTCAACACATCAGGCGATGCATATTATTACAAACACATTAACAAAACACGTAGGTGGCTGCACTACAGTTATAGACACAAGTGTGCCTTTCCACATGAATCATTTTACTGCATTTCCTCAAAGGCAGGCAGATGTGTGGGTGTATAAGAAATCTGTGTGAAATGACAACCTTTGCCACAGAAGTGTGACAGTAGAGTCTTACTTAGTGCTGACAAGCGTGTCGCTGATCCAACATTTCTCCCAGTGCTCCTTTATGACATAATTTTGTTGATGTTATTGATCTTGAGGGTTTAATTATAACAGCTGCTTACATTTTGGATTTGATTCTGAAATCAGATTCAGTAAAACAGATATCGAACCTCAAATCTATTTACATGTTCAGATCGGATCACCTTAACCCACAGTATCACTGTCATACAACCCTACAGGCAGGCACACTTGTGTTTTCTTTGGCGTACACACCAGTTTCACAAGTTTGAGTGGAACACGCAAAAATCAGTGTTCTCAGTTTACACTGCCGCATGACAAAATGGCTCTGTCTCTCTGCAGTGTGTCTTGGGATTTATACTTGTGCAGCAGACCCTATGCCGGAGCCTACACGTCACCTGCGCTGTTGTGAGCATTTATACTTGTGCGATGATGTGTCTGTGTCACTCTGCAGTTACACCTTCAAAACACACATTAAACATGGCATGAAAGCGACAATTTCAAACACAAGTACACAAAACAGCTACACTGTAACTCGCAGCATTCACAGACAAACACTCTTTTGCTGGACACATTTTCCCCACAAATACAACATGCTAACGTTATTAGCACAAGCCTATTGCATTTTAACATTGTATAAATTAGCCTAGCGGCCAGCTAACTTTACCTCTGCTCATATGAAGTCAGGGACAATGTTGAGCAACATTTAACAAAGGTAACGTTACAAAATTTGGCTCCATTACAACTCACGAGATTCACCGACAAAACAACTGTCTTAAACTTAACACGTTTTCCGAACAAATATAACATGCTAACGTTATTATGGCATTTTACATTGTATAAATTGGCTGGCAACTAGCAGAGATTTCCTTTGCTCATATGAAGCCAGGATAAATCCCTAAGTATAAATGCCTGAGGGAAATATCACACACAACAAGACTTAAAATGTTGTTTCTGTGGAGGCTTTATTATCTTCACAATTTATTTTTTCTTATCTGTTAAAATTAAAGTAAATAAAAGCTTTGTTTCCACTGAGGGAAATGGTGTCAACTTACAAAAATAGACAGAAGGTCTGCGACGTCACATACGCGACCGCCTCCTGTGTACTCTTGAGTCTTTCTAATTAAAAAGCTTATATCTCAACAGTTTTACCACAAAGTATGACTTTCTTGACCTTAAAATTTATTTTTTAAATTCATTGACGACATTTTTGGATTTCATGTCACAACTCAAACGGGACCAAAAGATAATATTTCTCTCCTCATTCACTGCCATTCATATTTTTTCCAATCTAAGGTCCCATGAGCTTCACCGGAAGGGGCGTGACTTCGGCACTCTATTGTTGCAGAGTCTACGCTGTAGGTATGGCCTCGATTCAGCGCAGAAGTATAAATTCGGCCTTACTCCCAGGATTTTCCTCCTCAATTTTTAGAAACTTGACATCTAAACTGACCATTTTAGAGCACTGTGAAACAAAAAAACTTATATCAGCGACTCTCAAAGTTTTAAATTGGGGAGCCAGCTTATGATTTCCAGCCACACACAAGTTCACACACTATGATGTTTTTATGACATAATAACACTACACAAAAACTTTGACACCAATATTTCGATATAACACTCATTTTACTTTCTAGTTTTCCACGTTTTAATGCATTTAAAATGACTGAAATAGAGAGATGGTATCTGGTGTCTGACATTGACTGTGCCTAACCACAGCAGCTGAGCAACAGCTTCTGCTGGAGTACGGCAACACCTCTTACACAAACCACACGCAGAACTGCAGTAATCCATAATGCTAGAACCAGGAGTGACAGTGATGGCAATTTGCAAAGTGAAAAGACAAAAAAATAAAAAAAATCAATCTTACGTATACACTTGAGGGTGGGTGGGGACGGGAGCCACTGTAGAGGACCACTGTCACTTTGCTTGCATCTGATGAGATTTGATGTTCCCGCCTCCCTCGTGTATCCTTCTATACATTTGTAGCGAAAATGGCTGTTTACTGGGAAGCAGGTCCCTGGTGGCTCTGTCAGATCTATGAGAGGGATTTCTGGACACTGACAATTGTTTTGGTCTGAAAGAAAAGAAAAACATCATGTGGCAAAATTACAATATGGATGCAGAGATCCACACAGAGATAGCAACAAGAAAAAATTATAAGAATTCAGCGAAAATTTAAGGTAACACTTAATTTGGATAGCCCACCTGCAGATAATTTATAGAGTGTTTGTAACATTTCAGCACTCTGTTAGTTGAGATTCAACTGCTTCGCTTTGTCTGTAGATGTATATTTGACAATTCACTACATTATCTCAGAATTATTTAGTTGAACTTTTCACTCAACCTATGCTGCGTAGGGGAAGTTTAACTCAATTATTATGAGAACATGTCGTTATATTCATGAATTGTCCAGTTTAGTCTAAAGATAATATCTTATTGCTCTCCCTTATTCATAGAATAAAGCAGAACTGTTCAACTGTTAATTACTAAGCTACTGAAATGTTATAAATACTCTGTAAGCCAACTATGAAGTTAAGTTTTGCTGACTTTTTTTAATAAAAAAAATATATATAATTAGAAGACCCACAAAAACTCATGTGTGTGGGTGCATCAGTTGTGAATGAGTCCTGTTGGCAGTATGCCATTTTTCCTAAAGCAATATAGATATAGATATAGAGTATTTGCTTCACCGCGACTCTGATAGTGTAGGCTATAATACATGCCTAGATTAATCAGTAACACATGTAGACAGAGTATGTCTCACTTCAAACTCTGTTCGTGGTGCAGAGCTGAATCTGAAAATGATGTATGTGCTTATCCACTGTAGATGAGAAGGAAATGAAAAGGAAAGAAATTGTGTCCCTCAGATGCATAACTGGTCTTAATTTCTTCAAATGTGTGAGTTTTTACATGCGCACAGGTGTATTTATTTTTTTACAACCTGTGTGTTTTAATTGTGCTGATATAATATTTTTTAATGTGTTTGTTTTGTTTTTAATCACAGCTGCATTCACTGACTGTACAAATAACACCAGACGGTAATGGCTGTGAAAGAGAAAGTTAAAATAATAACATACAGTAGAATAATAAAAAAAATTTTTTGCTATTTGCAGTGCCCTGGTTTGGACCACATATCCACAGCATTCACCTACTAGAGTAAAAGCGATTATTATTTAAAGGGAGTTATGAACTAAATCTCATGTGTAAAGTGGGGTAATGTATTTGTCACTTACCGCCATTGGAAAGAAGCGCAGCTCCGAGCAGACTGATCATGATAGCGCAGACAGAGATTAATGGGGAACGCAGATCCATCTGACAGCTCTGGGGAGACTTAAAACATGTTCGCCAGGTAGGCTTCACCGCGGCCGGGAAGGTTCATCTTCACTGCAACACGTCCAGCTGCTCTCTCACTTCTGCCCCTGACTTTCGCTTTCACCGCTACTACTCTCAGTAATGCAAATAAATGGGCGGATCATCGTGGATCAAGTGGTGAACTTGCTCACTTGTGCTTGCTCGCTGTGGACGCCATGTTTGTAGTTCCGCAACAAAACCACGCTCACATGGGCAACAGTCATGCATTTGTTTATGTCAGATGAACAATACATATCTGTATATGTTATGTCATATTACACGGCGGCACAGACATTAAAAAGCATTACGCTCCTGTGTTTTCATGGTGCGGTGGAGGAGAGTACATTAAGTATAGTACAGTGGTGACGACAGTCATCCAGCCGCTAGGTGGCGAAAGAGTAGGAGACTGCCGCCAAATGTCGTTGACTGTCCCGCTTAGCTTTGTTGTTGTGCTGCAGGTTTCCGCCACGTACAGCCAGCGAGGAGAGCCATACAAATGTGCGGCTAAATCTTTTTTAATGTGACACACTTACATTTAGTTAATGTCCAGGTATTTCTAAAGCAGGTAGGTTGAAAAAAGCTAATTGTATATATGTTTTTCACAATATCCGCTTAGCAGCAGACAGTAAAGTAGCTATCTTAGCATTAGCTAACGTTAGCTTCGGTAATATTTAGCCAGTTTCGCCTGGCCTGCTGGGGTTTAAGTTAGCGGTCTAACTATAACTAACGCTGAGTGATTAAAATTTCATTGCATTTAATGATAAACCACTGAGTTGCAATAAATGTAAACCAGCTTTCCATGTAGGCTGCTGCTAAGCTACATTCTTGTAGAAAAGTGATGCCCCTGAAGCCAGTTTATGTTAACGTTAAATCAAATGATTCTTGTCTTGTCTGCAGGAAACAGAGGCACTGACAGGCAGCAATGTCGCTGTATGATGACCTCGGTGTGGGTGCCAGTGACACCAAGACCGAAGGATGGTCCAAGAACTTCAAGCTGCTGCAGTCCCAGCTGAAAGTGAAGAAGGCGGCTCTGACTCAGGCCAAGGTAGGCACATACAAGTACGGTACGCAGGTAGAATAATGGATAAACACATCTGTCATAGAGATGATAAGGTACATGTAATGATATGTAACCACACAAATGAAAATGAATAAAAAGTGATTTACAGCAGATGGACATGATGATGTGCTAATGTGCGCTACATTAACAAGAAAAGTATTCAGAAACAAGGAAAGACAACAAATCCAGTGTGTACATATTCAGTCATTTTGCTTCTGTGTTTGTAGACCCAGCGGATGAAGCAGACCACTGTGTTGGCCCCAGTTATTGATTTAAAGAGAGGAGGTTCCAGTGATGACAGACAGATCACAGACACTCCTCCACATGCTGCTGCTGGACTTAAGGTTTGTATCCAGTAATTCTGGTAGTTGGTGTTAATGAAGTCTTGAAGTTGAAGTTTATTAAATGCTTAAAATGTTCAAGCTGCTTTATTTTCTCTTGATTTGATTTGTCTGGATCTTAGCCAGAGATGCAGAGTGAAAATGTTAGGAAGTAATGGTAATATGATACAGAGTGAGTCGTGGGGTAGTGATGCAACTGCACAAAGGCTACACCTTATGTGCTGATAATACATATAAATATTCTTAGAATACTTTTAAAGGTCCAGTGTGTAAGATTTAGTGGTATCTAGTGGTGGATTTGGCGACTGAAACCAGCTGAAACTTTCCCTGGTTAGAATTCCTTCAGTGTTCATTGTTCATGATAAAAAACAGACTAGGTAGTTTTATAAACCAATTTCAGTTTCATGTAACAAATCAGTGTTTCCCCTACGCTGTTTGACATGTTACAAGTGGGCTGCTAGCCCAGCACCTGTTAATGTTTGCCTATCTATTTTGTCTGACAACTTAATGTGTGCTCACCTTTTTCTGATCAGACGTTCAGGAGTTTTTTTATCAGGTCAAATTATCTGCTGAGGTCTCTTCCTTTTTAAAACAAACAAATCAGGTGATTTAAACTGGTACAAACACTTAATAAAGTAGTTTCACCATAGAAATTGTTTTTTTTCCAACGCTGTTTGACATGTTTGGCTATTAGCCCAGCACCTGCTCATATGTGCTTACTTTGTTTTTTTGAGAACTTAAGATCCAGATGTTCAGGAGGTTTTTACCAGGAGTCCAGTTATCACAAAGGTCCCTTCTTCTCAAAAAAAAAGAACAGATGTGGTGATTTAAACTGGTAAAAACACTGGAAAAAAACAGTTTCACATTAAAAAAATCAGTGTTTCTGCAACACTGCTCGTCGCAGAGGTGCTGTTAACTATGGAAGCCAACACAAAAACGAGAATGGCCCTATCTAGAGCCAGTGTTTGATTTGTCAGTTCTGGGCTGCTGTAGAAACATGGCAGCGAGGACCCGCTCCCTGTGTAACATTAGCTATGAACAGCTCATTCTAAGATAACGAAAAAAAGAGTCTTATTTTCAGGTGATTACACACTTAAAAAAAACATACAACATTATATTCCTTTTCTGCCAACTTATCCCCCTACATCCTACACACTGGACCCTTAAAGCTATGTCTGAATGCCACCTCTATCACACTCTCATATTTTGGACTTGGCTTGTGTATGTGTGTTGGTATGTGCTTCAGGACGCTGTGCCCAGTGGTTTCTCCTCTGGCGATGTGCTGATCCCATTGGCAGATGAGTACGATCCAATGTTCCCTAACGACTACGAGAAGGTGGTGAAGCGACACAGAGAAGAACGACAGCGGCAGAGGGAGCAGGAGCGGCAGAAGGAGATCGAGGAGAGAGAGAAGTACTGACGTGATCACTTACTCAGCTCACTAAGTGATTAAAAACAGCAGCAGGGATTAAACATGAGAGAATATAATCTTAGGCAAAAGGGGAAAATGATCTACTCTTCCACTTAAACTTTCATACAAAATCAAATTACTTATTGTTTTTCTTTCTTACTGCTTTATAGGGTCCTTGGAAATCTTGTTGCCTCTATAATTGTTTGCTTGTAGCCTAACACAGGTTATTGTCATGCAATAGTAATTTGTTAGAAACTAAAGAAAGAGTCCTCTGCACTGAATATTTCTAGGAACACATGGCTCCTGTTTCAGTGATGAACTTTGTGTGTTGCAGAAAAAGGAAAGACCGGCACGATGGTGGAGCTCCAAGTGGTTTCTCTCGTTTCCCTGCAGCAGAGGGCGAGTCAGATGAGGAAGAGGACTATGAGAAAGAGCGGAGGAAACGAAGTGAGTATTTTACTTCACTTGGCTTACATATAGAGCACCTGTAGAAACATTCCTCATCCTTGGATATTTTAATGTGTTCAGAGCTATAGCCTGATGGCCAACTTTGTCAGGATGATTTGGTTATCAACCAGAGTCTCTCCAGATGAGCTTGGCCTGCTTTTAGGAAGTACGCTTTAGAATTTTCCCCCTCAAACACAGGTTTATCCTCCCTCACAGATTTTCTGTGTGAGGCCACCAAGCCTTTCTTTGGTCACAGGTTGAGAGAGGGTAAACTGCAGGAGCATAGTATACAACTCAGGGACCTGAAGACAGTTTGGATCCTTTGAGTGGGGTTGTAGGAGGTACTTATCCATAGTCAGTGTGTTACCTGCAGCCGATGGCAGTCTGTGTTTCAGTTTTGAGAATCAGGCAGGAGTACTGACACGGAATGTATAACTGTGGATGGGGGCAGCAGCAAAATGTATTTTAGGTGCCTTAAAAAAAAGTCCCATCTCTATATTTAGAATATTTTCACAGCTTTGTATTAGCATTAAACAGCAGTTTCCAACAGGAAATGAAGACGTTATATCGCTCTACTCAAAGCCAAAGCCACATGAATTTAACGTTGAGTTATTGTGTGACTGTGGCTTTTAAAATTGTTCCTTCAGACTCACAAAAGTCACACAATAACAAACAAACTAAATAACTGATTGAAGCAGTGGTGGACCAGCAGGTCCCATGTGCAGCGAGCCAATATTAATGTTTTTGTCAAAGGAGTCTGGTGTCTGTGACAAGAGCATAGGTGGAGAACTGAAGCTGTTAATGGACAGCAGTAGATTGTTTAGCTTCCATGGTGTCTCCTGCCTCCTTCTCTGAACTGAAAGTGTGCTGAGTGACACCCACTGTATATAAAACACGGACTATGGATATGTACCTCATAGAACATAAATCAAACATTTTAGCATCATGAATAACAAGATGAAATGATGATGATGTGGAAATATAGAAGCACATGTCTGATTAAATACATCAAATTTAGTCATCATGTTTTAACCAAAAAAAAACGAAACTTCACTTCTCTAACATGATGGATTTTGTGTCTCTCTCTTCCAGGTGGAGCAGCTATCGCCCCTCCTTCTTCCCTTGTGGACAGGGATGGTGAGTCTTATGATCCAGCCAGTAGTGATGGTTTAATTATCAGCAGAATGAATGCAGTGTAATAGCAGCAGAAAAAGAAAAGGAGAAGTACAATAGGAGCAGTAGTCTGGTTGAAGTTAATCCTGCATGAAATGACAGTTAAGTTATTCCAGGATTTTCAGTGTTACTTTGTTTTCGTCCCTGAAATGTCAGGTAACATGTTAAATACTCATTGAGCTTGTGTGTGGAACACTCTGTAGCCTGCAGTGCCCCTAGTAAGTTGTTTTTTATTTTAGCATCTGGATCACAGAGTGAAACAGTGGAGAACACACAGATGAACATCCAACCTCTGTCTGTTTTATTATTGTCTACAGCAGAGGGCAGCATTGTCTACATCATCAGAGTTTGAGGTTTCATAAGCATTGTAAATATCAGTGTAAAATCACAAGGAGGGAAAAAGAAAGGCAGGCTTTCCTAGTCAGAATGTTGTTTTTATCTTCAATATCATCATCAGTTCTTCACAGAGCTGCTGTGATGTTGCAGTAATAGAAAACAACAGAATACACAATATATATAAAGAATGACAGTCTAAAATATCAGTTTTCTTCTGGCTGCCAGCAGTAGATTTGGCAGAGAACTGAAAATTGTGGTTGCTAGACTACATGCTGAAAGCAGTTGTGTTTTTCTGTGACTAGGCTCAACTTCAT